GGGGGGGAGGGAGGGCGCGGCGGCTGGTTGGTTTTGTTGGGTGAGGGCAGGGGATGCAGCGGGGCCGTCACACGGCAAGCATGCGGGCCGTGCTGGGGGCCGGGGAGGGAGCGTGGGCGGGCGCCCTGGACTGGGCAGCCCGGCCGGGTGTCGGTTGCAACCTGGGCAGAAAACCAGCTCGCCACTGCCTGCAGCTCACCATATTAGGCAACAAGCCCCTCTGACGCTGACGCTCTCGTCTTCCCACACCCTCCCCAGGCCTGCCGATGGCGGCGGCAGCGGCACCGACGGCAGCGACGGTGAGGGCGTGCACATTGTGGCAGACGCGCCTGATGCTCGTTTCAGGCGCGTGGCGGCCCTGATGCGGTCCAGGGACAGGCAGGACAAGGCGACGGCGGCGGCGCTGCGGCGGGAGATGCGGGCCGACAAGAAGGCCCGGCGCAGGGCGCGCGAGGAGGTGCGCAAGGGGGGGCAGGGGTGGGCGGCGGGGGTTGTGGTGGATGCTTTCAAAGCGCTGGGAGAGGGGGTCACATGTGTGGCTGTGGCAACTCATTACACGGCGCTCTGAATTTGCATACCGGCAGGCGTGTGTGATTCCTCTCCTGTCCCTTGTCTGACTCAGCGCACCTACACAAGAGCCTTCAGGCATCAACCTGCGCGCACGCACACACGTATTTGGCTTGGTCACATATGCATGCATGCTTCCACGCACCACCCGCCAGGCCGAAGGAGAGGGCGGCGCCCCGGTGGCGACGCTGGGCGGCAGGGGCGGCGCCAGCGACTCCGAAGGAGATGGCAGCAGCAGCGGCGGCGGCAGCGGCGACGAGGGCGAGCGGGGGCCGGCGCGCGCGCAGGCGGTGGCGCGGCCGGACGCAGCCCACCGGGGCATGCAGCGGCGCTCGTCCGGGCCCGCGGCGGGGCCGGCTGCGGAGGACAAGGGAGCGGCCGCCAAAGCGCCGGCGGGGGCGCTGTCGCTGCAGCAGCAAGAAGAGCTGGCCTTGCGGCTGCTGCGCGGCCGGGCGTGAGCTTGTCGCGTGTGTAACCCCAACGTCGTGTGCATGAGTCACCTGCACCTGCTGCACTCCGCCCGCGCTGCACCCAATAAAAACCAAATCCAACATAAACCAAAAGAGGGGTGGCTTGGGTTAGGAAAGGCTGCTGAGCTGCGTGTGGTGCGGGGTTGTGCAGCAGAACCCGATGAGCTTGCAGCCAAGCCTGGCCGATAGCAGCATCGCCGAGCCCACAGCTGAGCTCGGAGCTGCTGTACTCCTGTACACGGTACCAATTCAAACAGACCTGAGGCTGCTATGCAGGGGCTTGGCAGTGTGTTTGTGTGCGATTAGGCTTATGACTCTGACATGCTCTCTGCCATGTACATCACATTGTAGTTGGTGCTGGTGGTTGGAGCATTGGCACAACTGCCACATCGCTGAGCAGTGCGTTGGACAGTCCTATACGTTGGCAGCACGTGTGAGTACAAACGAAATGCGTGTTTCAGAACGAAAAATATCACATGTTCTTGTGAGATACTTCCTGGTGTCACGTACGAGTGCGTGATTCGGGCTGCCCCGAGATCAGTTTCAAGCGTGAAGCGTCACCTGCTTGGCTTCGGGCGTGGGACAAACGGTGGGCCTCAGCTTTACTCGACGAGCAGGTTCGCGCGCAGCCGTCCCACACCCGCTGCGCAGCGGTGATTGCACCCCCAACTCGACCTGCCAGCCGGCGGCGTCCTACGTCTGGGAGCGCACCCTTCTCACCTCACTTAGCTTAAATGTGGTCAACACGCCCCTTCACCTCGATATCACTCTCATCCGCAGTCATGGAGGCAGCCCTGCAGCGCATCTTCGCCTGCCTCGACAGAGGCGTGTCCGAGGATGCGCAAGTGTCGAGTTCATTGGATGACCTCAGGCGCGCCTGCGCCTCCTACGCCGCCCTCAAAAGCCCAGCGGCCATTGACAAGAGCTCCGCGAAGCGCCTCCTGAGCCACGTCCTGCGCCCCGCCGCCAGCGGCGGCGGCGGCGGCGGCGGCAGCGCACGGCGGCTGGCCAATCGGCTCGCCTGCATGGCCTTGATATGTGTCACGGAGCTCGAGCGCGATGCGGCGCCGTCCCTCAGAACCCCCGCCTGCGTGAGCCAACTGATTGAGGCAATCGAGGAGCTTGAGGAGTGTGAAGGCGGCGGGGGCGAGGCGCCGCGCGACGCCCCTGACGCCAGCAACACGGCGGCTGCCAGCGGCGCCTGCACCGCAAGCGCCATCGCGCCCGGCCTGACGGACTCAGATTTGCGGCTAATTGCGCTTTCGCTCGCCTTGGGCAGTGCGCTCTGCCCCGCTCGCACGACGGGCAAGCCCCCTGGCGCCGGGCGGGCGCTGGTGGCCGCGGCCGCGCGCCCGCGCCTCCTCCGCGCCCTTGTTCGCGCCGCGCTCGCCCAAGCGGCCCCGGCTCCTGCGGACCCCCGCGGCGACGTCATCGGCACAGACCTGCTGAGGCTCATAACGGCAGCGCTCCAAATCGCCCCGCTGCACGAAGCCGTAGAGGCCCGCAGCCTGGACGCCCTGTTTGCAGATCTGCTGGCGCTGCGCCTGCATGAGCACCAGCCGCTTGCCCACCGCGCCGCCGCCGTCGCGGCGGCGTGGAGCTTGTACAGGAATGAGGACGCCCTGCCGCCCGAGGTCGCGTCGAACGCCGGTATCCTCAGGGGGTTTGCGGCCTGCATGTGCGTGGACGGCACCGGGCAAGTCACCACTGGCCTGGCCCTCTCGCTGCTCAGCCTGGCGCTCGACAGCGGGCCTGCGGGGGCTCAGAGCAGCCTCGAGAGTGCCGGCCCGGCTCTCGACGCGTGCTGTGAACCCAATACGCTCAAGGAGCTGCTGCGGCTCGCGGCCTCCGGCGGCGGCGGCGGCGGCGCCGCCTGCAATGCCAGCGCGGGAGGGGCGCCCTTGGTCAGAGCTGATCTGTACGCCGCAATCATTCTAAGCAAAATCGCATGTTGCGAAATGCAAGCACGGCGCCCGTCTAGCATCGCCGCGTCGCCTGCAGCTGCCGCCGCCGTGGTGGCCGGGCTGCGCGCCTGCCTGGCAATGCAGGTGGAAGACAGCAGGTCGCGCGCGGATTTCCTGGGTGGGATTTCGGCTTTTGTGGCGCTCAGCCCCGCGCCGGGCGGCGCCGCGTGGGCGTCCGCACTCGCCCGGCTGGGCGCGCTGCCACTGCTGCGCCGCTCGCTCGCGCTGCTGGCAGGGCCGCGCGCCGCCGGGCAGGGGGGCGGAGCCGCACAGGACACCCCGCCAGAGGCCAGAGAGGCTTCCCCGACGGCGACGACCGCGATGGCTCTCTACGCGGTTGCTTGCGCCGCCACGCCGCCGGCGCAGGGGCGGGCGTCGGCAGTCGAGCGGCCGCCTGCGGAAGAGATCGAGGCGCGCCGCGCCCGCGAGGAGGCCCTGGCCGAGCTGCTCACAACGGGCGACGAGCTGCGCCTCTTGGCGGCCATGCAGCCGTCCTGGCGCCGCCAGCTGGCGGAGGAGCCCGGCGTCCTGCTGCAGCTGTCGGCGACCGCGTCGGCCCCGGGCGGGCGCGTGTCCGCAGAGCTGGCCTGCCGGGGGATGGAGGGCCTGGCCCTGCTGGCGGCAGCTTTAGTGCCGGCAGAGGCGCTGCCATCTGCCCTGAGGAGTGGCGCGTATGGCGCAGTCGCCGGCGCCCCAGGCGAGCCACCTGACGATGCGGCAATCGCGTTGGGGGTCACCAGGTTGGGGCGCGAACGTTACCCTGGGCTCTGCATGGAGCTGCTCGGGCGCCTCACGACAGACGCGGGGGTGCGCGTGGCGCAGCAGGCGGCAGAGGCGCTGTGTGCGTTGGGCGGCACCAGGGCCGGCCCGCAACAGCCGAGCCAGGAGGGGAGCCAGCCAATGCGCGAGCTGACGCGCGCAGGGGTCCAGCGGGCTAGTCCGTCAGGCGCAGCGCCTGCAGCAACAGAGGGAGGGGCCGGCCGGCAGGCACCCGCCGGGCGGCTGCGCCGCGCATGCGCCGTCTGCGGCAAGACGGCGCGCGACGGCGCCGAGCTGCGGCGCTGTGCCGGCTGCGGGCGCGTCACGGGGACGCGGTACTGCAGCCAGGAGTGCTGCAGGACGGACTGGGTGGTGAGAGGGCACCGTGCAGTGTGCGAGGCGGCGCGGCGCCCGTGACGCATCCTCCCACGAGTGGTTGCATGCCGCCTTATGCATGAGCTCACACTACTGGTGTGCAGCCAGGCTGCCATCTACTTGCTGCCTTATTCCTATTTCCTAGCTCTTCATCCTTGTGAATTTTAAACAAATTGTAAATTTTAGGGCTGAGCTTGCAAGCGTCAAGGCGAGAGAGAGAGAGA